ACGTCAAGCATCTTGGGCATTCTGGGTTTGCTGTTGGAGGACTGCTAGGAGAAGAGGATCACACGGAGGCAACGAAGCCTTCGGAGGCCTGTGCTCACCGCAACTCCCTTCTTCAGGTATCGTCCGAGGCGGCTCGACACGCAACCGTCTTCTCCGTTGCAGAGGCGAGCTTCGCCTGATGCTCGTGTGATGAGGTCCTTGTCAGAGGCAACTTGCCCAAAGCGTGGCACTTCTTGTCGCCAGCCTGCGTTCTCACAGCCAGTGGGCGCCCCAGGCCAGCGGAATAATTTCGAGCGCTGGTCCCAGCAGCGGCCACTGTCTATCGGCGGTTCCGTCGGTTGGGTAGGCCATCCCTGCGGGGACTGCGGGGCAAGCCTTTGCTCCAATCGCCCCCCCCCCTCCCCGTCCTCTCTTTGGGGCCGCGAGCGTTTCACTCCGCTCGTGTGAGCCGGCCAAGGCCAGCTCAAGCCCTCACTTCTCTGCGTGGCAGAGTTCTCATGCCGATTGTCGTGTCCCGTGGTCACGAGGGGCACGTCGGCCTTCAGACGCCAGGCTCCTGCGTGGATAGGAAGAAAGAGACACGCAAATAAGTGTTGTGGATGTAGGTTTCGAAATGTCTCTTAAGCTCTCTGGGGGCGGCCTCCGATGATTCTTCGCAAGTGCACCAGTAACTCGCAAGGTACTGATGCGCGGGCTCCCCGATTGTGATCTTCCGTTCGTTTCTGCACGAAACGGCCTTTGCAAACGAATCTAGGCCCCGCGTGGTCCCAGCGTGTCATACGCGCGGGCACCAGCTGCCCAGGCCCAGGATCCCCCCCCCCCCTCCTCGTTCCACCACTCAGAACTGCGCGCGCGCATCTTCTGAGTTCGCTCCCGTGCGTAAGCCAAGGGAGGAAACAACAAACACACCCGGGCCCGATAACTGGCGTTTGCTGAACGGCCGTGGGCGTTTACTAACGGGCCTTGCCCTGTGCGATTCCTTCTTTGGCCGCTTTTACTAAACGACTTCGCGTGTCGGAGTGTATTTTGGGGGTGAGTTGCTTTCTCATCGATTCAAGGCCCACCCCTAGCCCCAAAGTGTTGTGGATGTAGTTCCGTAACCTGTTTGGCTCAAGGCTTGTATCGTGGCTCAGTCCGTGATCGTACATCACACACCACCCACCTTGTATATCTCGGTTTTCGCGCAAGCGAATTCTGCCATTCAGTCCGCATGGCACACTGGTCCGCGTGGCTGGCGGGGGTACTTCTCCACAGCGTACCTACCGCAGTTTCTCTTCAGACGGATGGCGGTGGCAACGCGACGGGACACTTGCAGACAGATCGCTCGTGGTCTTGCTCCTCGATCGCAGCCAGCAGTTTCACCTACCAGTACGACTCTTATCAGTCTGGCAGTGTCATCGTGGTGACAAACAATCAGGGCAGCCAGCGTGGGCGGGCGTACTACACGTGGGCAAATGCGGGAGGCTTCAAGATCAACTTCGACATGTGGATGGGCGGTGGGTCAGGCGCTGACGGCATGTGCATGAAGTACGGCGGTTATGACTCTGGCGAGATGGGCGAAGACATTGCTGGCAGTGGCTTCTCTGTATGCTTCGACTCCTATTCAAACGAGGATGATCATGGCGTGTTGATGGGTTGGAATGGAGGGTCCATCTTTGAACAGATAGGTTCGGGCCACTGGACTCACCAAGTGCCCCTCCTCGAGGACTCCACTTGGCATGGCGTCATTGTGGAGGTCACGCCCAGCGGCAGCGGGGCCAGTGTGATTCTGAACTTCGACAACGGCTACTACTATAGGACCGCTACGATTAATGGCTACGCGTCGCCCGTTGGTAGTCAGCAGCTGGCCTTCACTGCAAGAACGGGCGGCACTACCAACTGGCACTATGTCACGAATATCCAGGCGTGCAGCGCCGCGACGCCCTACCCGACGCCCTACCCGACTGCCTACCCCACTGCCTACCCCACTGCCTACCCCACTGCCTTCCGACGCCCTACCCGACACCCTACCCGACGCCCTATCCGACTGCCTACCCCACTGCCTACCCCACTGCCTACCCCACTGCCTTTCCGACGCCCTACCCGACACCCTACCCGACGCCTACCCGACGCCTACCCACTGCCTACCCCTATCCGACTACCCGACACCCTACCCCACTGCCTACCCACTGCCTACTGCTTTCCGACGCCCTACCCGACACCCTACCCGACGCCCTACCCGACTGCCTACCCCACTGCCTACCCCACTGCCTACCCCACTGCCTTTCCCGACGCCCTACCCGACGCCCTACCCGACTGCCTACCCCACTGCCTACCCCACTGCCTTTCCGACGCCCTACCCGACACCCTACCCGACGCTGCCTACCCCACTGCCTGCCCCACTCTACCCCACTGCCTTTCCGACGCCCTACCCGACACCCTACCCGACGCCCTACCCGACTGCCTACCCGACGCCCTACCCGACTGCCTTTCCGACGCCCTACCCGACCGCCTTCCCGACGCCCAGCCCGACGCCCAGCCCGACGTATCCTCTGGGTTGGCCGACGCCACATCCGACGTTTCCTGTTGGAGCTCCCATGGCGGGTGGGGCTGGCGGTGCCGCGGCTGCCACCGGCGATTCCCATTTGCAGAACGTCCTTGGTCAGAGGTTCGATTTGATGAAACCGGGCAAGCATGTTCTGATCAACATCCCTCGTGGACGGCACAAGAACGCATTGCTTCGTGCGCAGGCCGATGCGCGCCAAATGGGCGGACAATGTGCAGACATGTATTTCCAAGAACTGAATATCACAGGGGAGTGGGTGGAGGCAAAAGGGACGAGCGGTCTCTGTTTCCAAGCTCAGGGCGTGCATGATGATCAGCCGAAGTGGCTGAAGTTTGGGAAGGTGCAAGTGAAAGTTGTCCACGGGCGCACTCAGGACGGGGCTCAGTATCTGAACTTCTACGTCAAGCATATTGGGCATTCTGGGTTTGCTGTTGGAGGACTGCTAGGAGAAGAGGATCACACGGAGGCAACGAAGCCTTCGGAGGCCTGTGCTCACCGCAACTCCCTCCTTCAGGTATCGTCCGAGGCGGCTCGACACGCAACCGTCTTCTCCGTTGCAGAGGCGAGCTTCGCCTGATGCTCGTGTGATGAGGTCCTTGTCAGAGGCAACTTGCCCAAAGCGTGGCACTTCTTGTCGCCGGCCTGCGTTCTCACAGCCAGTGGGCGCCCCAGGCCAGCGGAATAATTTCGAGCGCTGGTCCCAGGCGCGGCCACTGTCTTGAGCCCGCCCGAACTGTTGCAACTCATGTCGGTTAACTTTCTTTCCCGAGAATTTCCTGGATATTCTTCCCGATAATGTCCTTTTATCCCGTTAATTCCCTTGTTCCCTTGACGACGTTCCCGATAATTCCCGTTAATTCCCCTGTTCCAATTAATGGTAATGGGCGCCAGTCATACTCGGTCTCGCATGGTTAGCCTATATAACACGTAGAACATGATTTGAACATAAGACTTACACGATGATGGCGATATGAAGGAACGGCTGGCAGGCACATGCGCATCGAACGAGTCGAAAGGGCGAGACGCGGAGGAAGGATGCAGGTGAGGGGAATACGACAAGAGGGGACGACGACCAGGAAGCGACGGAGGGAAAAAGGTGGGAAAGGGAGCCGAAACACGAGGGGAGCAGCAGGAGGGGGCAGCAGGAGGGGGAGGAGGAGGGGCAGCAGGAGGGGGAGGAGCAGCCGACACGGGGGCCACGCATCCGTGCAGCAGCACGAGGGGAGCAGCAGGAGGGGGGGAGGAGGGGCAGCAGGAGGGGGAGGAGGAGGAGCTGGCGGTCGGTGCTGGCGCGGGCGGCGCGGTCGCTGCTGGCGGTCGGCTCTCCCTTGCTGCAAGGTCGGTGATGGCGTCGGTGCTGGCGCGGGCGGCGCCTGGGCTGGCGTCGGCGGCCGGGCGTTGGCGTCCCCTCCTCCTCCTCCTCCTCCTCCTCTTCCTCCACCTCCAGAGGCGATAGGGGCTAGGTGAGGAGGGGGAGGAGGGATGATGGGACACGTAAGGATAGAGATGAAGATTAAGACAATCAGGATGGGGATCAGGCGGCAGCGGCACAGGGTATAGGGCATCGGGCATGGCATGGAGCGACGAGGAGGATGAGGATGAGGGCGAGGATGAGGGATGAGGAAGAAGAGGCGGATGAGCGGAACTGATTATGAAAACGAAGAGGGGGAATGATAGGGTGATTACGAAGATGATGAGGAAGGATGATGATGAAGAGGCAGAGGATGATGAGATGATGGGGCGCTGCAGGGGCGAGGGTGAGAGGTGAGGGATGCGACGGGGAGGAGGAAGACGGAGAAGAGGAGGGTGAGCTGGATGATGAGATGACGAGGTGAAGGAGGACGAGGACGAGAGAACAGAAGGGTTGGGGCGAGAAGCGAGAAGTGAGACGAAGAAGTGGTGAGACGTGATAGGTGGGTAAAGATATGAGGATGTAGAGGTAAGCGAGGGCGGGGCAGGGGGGCAGGAGGACGCGGGATCAGAGGATGGCGAGGCCAAGGACAGGATGAAGAGGAGGAGGAGGAGGAGGCGGAGGAGGAGGACGACGACGACGACGACGAACTACGAGGAGCAAAAAGAGTCCTCTAATTCCTCTCATCCCTCCTCCTCCTCCGCCTTCTGAGCCCTAAACCGCCGGGCGCCCTGGGGCTGGCCGTGAGCCACCACGAACCCCCCAGCCAAGCAAACCGGCGCGCAGACGCTGGCGACGGTGCCGACGTAGGCGCCGGCGTCGGCGCTGACGTAGGCGCCAGCAGCCAACCAAGAAACTGAGAAACTGAGAAAATGCTGGTGTAGGCGCTGGCGTCAGCGCCGACCGATGTGGGCGCCGGCGACGGCGCAGGCGTAGGCGCTGGCGTTGATGCCGGCGCAGGCGCTGGCGTCGGCGCTAGGTGGCCTTCGGCGCCGCCGGCGCCTTGACCTCCTTCTCCAGCGCCGCGAGCTTCGCCTCGAACACCGGCAGCAGGGCGGTGCCCTTATCATTCACCGCCTTCCGCAACTTGCCAACCTCGTCGGGCCTCGAAGCCTCAGCCAAGGACGGAATGTACTTGTACATCTTGTATGTCACGAAAGTGACCGCGACGGTGTTGACCGCCTTGGTCTTGGCCTTATCGGCCTTCTCCCTCGTCTCGTCGCTGAGCACCGGCATGCCTCCGACCTGATTCTCCAGGGTGTCGATCAAGGAGAGGACTGCCTCGAGCTTGTTGCTGGCGGGCATGAGCTTGGGGTACGCGCGGTTTTCGACCAGCGCCTTGATATGCTCCTCGGACGGGAAGGTGCTCAGCTTGGCCCACTCCTCCCACTGCGGGCAGCCCTGCTCCATGAAAGTCACGAGGCCGTGAACGCTCGCCTGCCACTGGGCGTAGATCTTCTGCAAAGTCCCGTCGACGCCAGACTCGAGCTCAACCAACTTAACCAGAGCGTCGAATCTGCTGAAGTTGACGTCGAGGTGGAGATTGTCCGTATCCTGAGCCTGGAACAGAGCCTTGCACTCTTCCGCTTTGGTATCGTCATTGTGCATGCTGCGAATCGTCTTCAATAAACGCCGAGCTGGGCTGACAAGGAGGATCCACTCCGGCGTAATGAGCATCTGTTCCGCGGTCTGGCAAGAGTTCCAGCGGTGCGCCAGGCCCCGCTGGCAGTGGGTCGCCTCGAAGCCAAGAGCAAAAAACTGCAGCTGGCGGTTGAGGCGCTTGTCGTTCAGCCCCTTTACATCGTCAAGGATCTGGACCATCTCCTTCTTGAGATCGGCAGCGCTAGAGTCGTCGGGCAAGTGGTGCGGGTCCTTGTACATAGCTTCGCACTTATCCAGCACGGGGGCCAACTTGGACTTGACATGCTCAGTAGCCGTCTCCACCAGTTGCTGCACGGACTCGTCTGCTAAGAGTGTGTCGATGTGCTTGGAAGCCAACTCGAATATGCTGTCCCCCCAGGTGCTCGTGATGAGATTCTTGATGTCGGCCTCGCCGGGGTTCATGGCGCGCAGAGTGGCCATCGCCGAGAGCAACCCCTCAGGAGCATCACCCTTATTCGAGAGCGCCGCTTTGCACAACGCAACGGCGCCCGACATGTCCTGCAAGTACGAGCGCGACCACTGGATCACGCTGAAGAACGGAGTGACGTCCAAGAAAGGCTTCCAAATTTTGACCGATGCCTCAAGCACCAGGGCCTCAAGAAACATCATGAACGGAGCTGTCGGCTCCAGCAGTGGCACGGACACATCCTTGAGGAGAGCTACAGAGGCGTTGCCGACGGTGCGCAGGATGGCTCCGGACACCTGCACAACCTTTGGTTTCACCTGAGAGGCGCGCCCGCTGCGCCGATCGTTCAAGTCGCAACGCCCGCCCCTATCCACCTATCCACCCCTGGCCTACCCAGCCCCGGAATCGTTGGCCAGGCAAGCCATGGGCCATGGGGCGGGAGCGGAGAAGCGACTGACGCGATCAGACGCCCGGGCCCCCTCCCACCTGCGTCACGAGGTCCGCCTGGGCGCTGAAGTCTTCGCTGGTAAACTTGTCGCAGATCTTCTGGTACTGGATGACCGCCTCCTTGTAGTCGATGCCCACCTGGTCCGTCAACACGTCCATGAGCCCGTCAAGCACCACGACGAGCTTCGCGTGCTTGGAACTGACGACCGCCATGCGCTCCTTCTTTGCTTCGGCCTTCTTGATCAGGGCCCTGCCAGCAGGGGACGACGCAACTGCCTTCGAGATAGCGTCGTAAGTGCCTGAGCCATCTACAACGACAACGATCTTGGCCTTGTCCTTGTCACTGCCAGCCTCGGAACTCGCAGCGTCGAGTGCTTCCTGCAACCTCGTCGCCGTCACGTCCCGCCCATCAAGAAGGGTCGGCGCGCCCATCAGCAAGCGAACGTTCTCGACGGACTTCCGGATGAACTCGGGCAGCTCACTCGCGTACGAGACCAACTGCGGATCGCAGAACTCCATCCCGAGAGTACCTGGGGGGGGGGCAAGGATCAAACAATCCAAGCATCGGAGCATCGGAAATCGATATGTCCGACGTCACATCGGGCATCGGGCATTGGAGGGCTGATCCCCACTCGGGCACGGGAGTTAAATGGGTTGCATGGGCACCCAAGATTCTGGTGACTTCTGCGGGCGAGACATCGACTCGACATCGACTACCAGGTTTAATGACCGAGGCGCGCACCCTGGGAACGTGACAGCATATCGAATATCGACAACGCAACACAATGCTTGGTATCGCAAAGGTGATCGCTTTGCTGCAACCTGCGTTGGTGATGGGCACGTGAAGTGTAGCTTGAGAGAATGGCGCACCGGGCCGACCCAATAGGATTCCTGGCGATGTGGCTTTCTCAAGGTGGGAAATCATGGCCCCGCAGTTCAGGCCCTCTTGGCTTGCGAGAGGTGCCCTCGCGATGGCAAGCCGTTGGAGCGCATGGCCTATAGCCTGCAGAGCAGCCCTGATATAAACAACATTCCAGCACAATCCATGGCCCTCCGCCCTTGTCCTGAACAACCCTCCTCCCTCTTCAACCCTACGTCTTCCAAGCGCGGGGGTGATTGTAGTTCAAAACGGGGCTCCCGGCTAAGCATGCTTATGTTACATAATGTCCGTACCGTAAGGGCTCGTGCATCGGGCACGCGGATGGCGGGCGGTTCCAGCACCGAAAACGGGCTTTCGCTTCAGACGTCCTCACCTACCAATCGCAAAGTAAATATGGCGCTTACACGGGTGGAGGGTGACTACGTTGTAAAGTGGAGCTCTCGCATGATTCATGATATTATGACTTATGAGCTCCCCTGGACATGGGGCACCTACTCCGCTCATCCTCCTACTCATTATCATCTCCTGGCGTCGACCACCAAGCCGTATTTCTTCAACAACTCCCAGAACTGGAGACTTGCGATCCAGTACATAGACATAGACCATAGATGCTCCACGGCTTCTCCTGTGAGCCGCCTTACCCGAGATGCCTTTCAAAGAGAGCACCAGCCCGCTGCTACTACTACAACTTAGACTAAAAACTAAACCGATGAGTCAATGAGGCTGGTGCAGCAGTGGCTTCGCGGCTCTGGATTCAATTCACCCCTGCCTGGACGCCCACCCCGCCGCCGAGCGCGTAGGACTTCACGCCAGATGATGAAAGCCTCCGTCCGGCTCCGGGGGCGGCTGCTGCACGAAGCTCCTCTCGTCGACCACCATGGTGATCACGGTGTCCGGCTCCTGCTGGCTGACCGAGCTCGTCGGCATGCGGATCGCCTTGATGAGGCGCGAGCGCTCCTCCTCCCTTATCTTCATCCTCTCGTTCTCGATGATCTGCTCCACCTCCGCGTCCGTTAGCTTCCTGATCACCTCAGCCGAGAGGCTCGTCGGCCGCGGAGGAGTCACCATGGCCCCTGGAGCGCCCGGCGGAGGCGGCGGCGACGGCCGCGTCGTTGCCGAGACCTCGTCCTCCGTGGCGCTGGAGGGCCCCGTCGGGTGTGCCTGGCCAGGCTGAGCTGAGCCCGTGGTCTCCAGGCGGTCGAAGTACTGCCTCGAGCGCACGCACTGCAGCAGCATCTGGTCGTTGACCTTCGCGAAGTTGTACTTGTACAGGAGTTCGCCGCAGCCCCTGCATTTGATTTGGTCGATAAAGTTGTTGGAGCCCTGGCGCGTCTGGTCCCGATGAGCACATGACCTCGCCATCCGCTGCCCCGGTCGGGCGCGCGCGCTCGCGCTGGGACCTGCTTCGTTTAACGTCCTGCGCCAACACGGGTACTGAACGCATGGGTCGTGGATAAACCGCAATGCCAACCCATCGAAATCCCACCAGCCCTCTGGGCGTAGGTGGTCTAGGGCGTTCCCTCTTCCAACCTCATCGAGCGGTCAGAGCGTCCAAGATGGCCCAGGATGGCTCTAAGAGCGCCTCGGAGAGCCCAAGATGAGCTTCAAGATGGCTCAAGCTAGCCTAAAATGCCGCATGATGGCTCCGAAGATGCTCCAATACGCTCCAAGAACACTCCACCTCGCTCGAGGGCGCGCCCCCGCCCGTGACAGGTCAGCGGGCGCACGGACTTATGAGGGAGGTCTTGGGACGAGAGCGCGCATATTGCAACGCTATGGGGCCATGGATGCATCCCGCGCGAACTTCGGTTCAGTTCATCCCCATTCGCAGCCGTTGTTGGTTCAAGACTCGGGTTAGGGGATCATTGCCGGGATCATTCACCAGGCGGCCGATGCCGCGCACATCCCTTGCGGTCCCAGGCGGGCCGCTGCTCAGAAGTCGGGCTGCCACAAACACGCTCCAGCCCAAATTCCTTCCACTCAGTTCTGCGCGGGACCGCCCAAGAGGCTTCCAGAGGGCTCCCGAGAGATCCCAGAAATCGCCCCCAAGCAGAATGCCGCGGCATCTTGCTCCCTGAGACCTCCAGGAAGCCCCCGAGAGCCCCCCGGAGAGCTCCAGGGCGCTCCCAAGAAGCCCCAACGAGGCGTCCAGGCAGTCCCAACTTACTCCCAAGAAACCCCCCAGAGCCCCCCAGATGGCTCCCAAGAGATCCCAGAAATCGCCCCCCAGCGAGATGCCGCGGCATCTTGCTCCCGGAGACCACCAGGAGGAAGCCCCCAAGAGCCCCCCCAGAGAGCTCCAGGGTGCTCCCAAGAAGCCCCAACGAAGCGTCCAGGAGCCCCAAGTGGCTCCCAAGAACCCCCCAAATGGCCCCCAGAGGGCCCCCAAGAGATCTCAAAAATCGCCTTCCAGCGAGATGCCGCGGCATCTTGCTCCCAGAGGCCTCCAGGAAGCCCCCGAGAGCCCTCCAGGAATCCCCCCAAGGTACTCCCGATGAGCCCCGACGAGGCGTCCAGGCAGCCCCAAGTTGCCCCCAGGAAGCCCCCGAGAGGCCCCCAGAGGGCTCCCAAGAGATCCCAGAAATCACCCCCCAGCGAGATGCCGCGGCATCTTGCTCCCGGAGGCCTCCAGGTCCAGGGGAGGGGGCAGGGGGAGGGGTCCGAAGGGGAAGAAGGACCTTGGGCATAGCATAGAACATGCACGGAAGACATAAGGCATAGGGCATTGGGCAGCGGCGTGGCAAGGTAAGACATAGGGGCATAGTCCATTGGCACGGCGGTTCACCCAGGGCACGAGGCAAGTTCTCCAGCGAGTCAGACCGGCAGATATCGACGACCTTGTCGGAGATGATGCCGACCCACTCTGCGTCCAGGTCCTTCTCCTCGAAGCCAATGCGAAGCATGTTGTCCTTAGAGAGCTCCCACCAGAAATCCTTAGGCTTTGCCGCCGCCAACTGCGAGCGGGACTTCTCCGAAGACATCCACCTCGGAACGAAGTCAAGGTCGACTGCAGGCTCCATGGCGGCCCAAGACTCAGCCTCCTGATAAGCCTTCAGAAATCCAGCGCCCTTGCTCTGAGTGTACCCCTTCATGAGGGTCAACAAGATCTCCAAGCTCTTCTTCGCCTTCTTGAACTTGTCCTCTTCTAGGGGGTCCTCGACCTTGTCCATCTCGCCCTTGACTCTGTCGACCAGGCGCCCGACCGCCTTGGTCTGAGTATAGCGCTCCTGTCCGAAGAACCGAGGGTGGGTCGACGAAGCACCCTTGAAATCAGCCAGCATTTTGACGACCTCCGGGAGCGCAGGTTCGGTTGGCCGCCCAGCTGACCGCTTCGGCGCCTTGCCAGAATCAGATGGCGAAGGCGTGGTGGCCTGTCCGCCGTCTGCAAGAGTCTTGACCGTCTTCTTCTTGTTCGTCGTGGGCGTAACCGGGGCGTCTTTGATGGCCGCCTTCCCCGCTCTTGCCGCTGCGGCGCTGGGCGCGCCCCCATCATTCGCTTGGGTCGGAGCAGACTGCGGCATGGAGAAGCTCAGCCCTGGGAACGAGAAGCCGGAAGTGAACGCCACCGGAAGCGAGGTCTGTTGCTGGCCCAGCGCCGGCCTGGCCGAACGCAACGGATGAAAAGGCCCGAGAATCGATCAGCCAGGCCAGCGGGCCACTGGGCCCCCATTCACTCGACTCCCATACCCCGTGCCCCATGCACTATATCCCATGATTGCCCCTGGCCCGGGCCAGCCCGCGCGCCTCATTTCCCGATGATGTGCCCGCGTTGTGTCCGCAGGCATGCATGGGCGCGAGTTGCACGGTGCACGGGGCATGGGGCATGGGGGATGCGGATGCGGGAGTCGAGTGGCCCGGTGGCCCGATGGACTGGCTACGTCGATGCGCGGCCCCCTCATCGGTTGCGCCCCCTGACAGCCTGCTCTCCCCAGCACTGTCACTGCTTCCGACGTCCGCCATGATTGAGTCCAACGTGAAGTCGACGGCCTCCCCCGTCGCCCTCTCCGGGAGGAAGATGTCGGAGAGCTGGGACATCATCGACTCGAGCTCGTTGGGCGCCAACTGGAAGTTCCCCGTGGCATGCTCTTGCTGGATCTCCGCAGTCATGACGCGGGCGCGCTTCACCTTCCACCTCGGCAACGCTCGCGGCTGCCTCCTCCTTCTCCCCTTCCCCCCTTTCCCCCCTTCTCCCCCTCCCCCCATCCCTCCTTCTCCCCTTCTCCTCCCCCTCCCCCTCCTCCTCCTCCCCCTCGTCCTCTGCTCCGCCCCCCGGGGCCCCCTGGAGCCCCGGGGCAGCTCTGGCCCGAGAGTGAAGCCCGACTCAGCGCGACGCCCCGAAGGCCCGATTGTGATTCTTGGTTCCATGGCAGACTGCGACCCCATCTGAAGGGAGATACCGATGCCGATGCCCGATGCCGATGCCACCTAATCCCGTTGTCTCGTTCTCTCCACTGGGCCTCCCGTGAGCATCGCCGCCAGCGGCCTGCCTCGGCCAGCGCGTCGACAGACGCAGGCGATGGCCACAGGAGGGCCAGTTGTTGATGCAACGGATGCAAGGATGCACGGACGCCGTCCACCGGCGAATCGCACCGAGTACCGAGTACCGAACACCTCGACAAGGCGCAACTGCTACGGTGGC